AGTCTGGTGTGAAAAGAAGCAGGCAGTGTGCTTTCCTTCAAGGAATAGGCCTTCAGTTATTTATGGGCTATTCACTCATGCTACAGATGTTGCTAATTAGTCAAAAGGGGGGATCAAAAGTCTATTTAGAGCCAAACATGGACCGGCGAGGAAAAGACACACTTGATTATGTTGCCAGTGAATGCTGTTACCGCCTCATAAACAGCATCAAAGGTCATGGTGGTGGTCCTGATTAAATGAGAGACTGCTCATTATCAGAACAGTGACCCAAAGCTCAGCTGCTCCTAGTTTTTATTTTGTGTTACTTGAGGAAACGAGCTTCACGGTCTTCTTCCTCCTCGCAGACACCAATCTAGAGCCGTGTAGTGATGTCAGGTTTGCGTTGCTTGTCTCGGAGCTAAATTGCTGGTGCAGAGAAAGGCTGCAGGGGCTTTGCTAGTCATCAAAGGCTTTGTGGCCTGAAACTATACAGGCAGCTATGCATTAAATTGCTAATGTGGCTGGCAGAACTACATTATCTGCCCCCATCAAAGTGACAAGGGCAGGGATGAAGCACTCAGCTCAGCTGTCCATGAGATCGATGGAAAAGGGGTTTTGTGGATTTGGCGTGGCAGTTGGCAGAGTTGTCTTTGAGAATGCTTTCTTGGAATTTGTTTTGTCTGTGCATCGCTGATTTGACAGCTGCAGAACAATGAGGCTGAAGTGCCTGACTAGTTCCATCTACATTCAGAGCGTCTCTGTGGAGAAAACCTCACACCTGGCTGACCGGACTTTCCATTTGGTGTCATTGTAGGATGTTTTCTTTTTTATTTGTTTTGCATGCTTCAGTATTTGGAGAAATGGCTCTAAATATTGCAGGTTTGGTGAGCAAAGTTTCAAAAGCGACACATACACTCATTCATACTTGTCAGCTTTGCCATTTTTGCTGCAAATAGTCTCTTATGCCGTTTATTTTTCTCGTAAGCTTTCAGAGTGAATGTTTATGCTGCTTCTATGAATGATCAAAAGCAGATTTTAAGATACAGGACACTCCATCAGATCATATTGTTTCCAATTTTTATTTAACTTAAAAAAAATTTTATTAACCGTAAAAGATTTCTAAAACAATTTTTTGTAATTCGAAACTGTTCTTTGAGCCTCTATATAGCCTAGATACTTTGAGGCTCATAATAGTCCAGGAACTCTGATAAATGGCCAAACAACCCTTTCATAAAGCCCTATAATAGACTGGTTCACCCTGCCCGCTCTGCCACGTCATTATTATTAAATGAACTGTGTTCTGATTGGCTGGTTTACCCCGATGGCGCTCCCTGAAGGTAGATTCTGTGTTCAGCTGTGCAAAGTATCTGGATCACTGAATAAATAAGCCATAGATCCATCTCATCTCATTTTATTTATTTGTTTAAATAGTGCCTTCCTGCTGCCAGTCAAGGCAGCCCAAAGCGCTGAACACAGCAGTGTAAAAACTTCTATCTGGCATCCATTCAAATTTGGATATTCCCGGTGCATCCTGGAAGTTACATGCTCACTTCGTCATTCTTTTTTGTCGTTTACCTCTAATCCAGTGACGAGGTTAAGCCTAATTTCTACTTCTCTGTCTGCGTGGTTATGGAGTCACGCAATGCTATTGTGCGTTGGCACAAGGGTTCTCCGACGCCATTGCCCCCTCAAAAAATAGATACTTAGCGGCAGACATGGAACAGATTTGGATGCCCCAGAAAAGTGCTATCCTCTCTGTTGTCCTGGCGGGGAATTGCTTCGCAACACTTCCCTGGTGACCAAGATGTCTGAAGGGAAAACCTCTCCGTCAGTGCGTGTGCGCGACTCCACTCTCGAGTTGATAAAGTATAAATTAGGCTCGAGTATCATAAGCTAGCTTGGGGTAGCATTGTTATATGGTTAGCATTATCAATGCCTACTGACACCACAATAGCATCACCTATATTCATATATTGTTGATGTTTAACTGGGTTTGGACATGCACATTTAAGGGTGTGTGTGTGTGTGTGTACGCTTATGGCATGTTAAAACAGCATTTCTCAGTACGAACAGTTTCTCTGCGTCCATTAAAACATTTACTTGTTAGCGTAGGAAAGCGGGTCGGAGATCAGACTTTTGATACTCTATATAAGACCCCCTAAGCTGCCTATGTTCAACAAGGTGGATGGGATTTTTAATTATCGGACCACTTTAAACATTTGTTTTGTTTTGCTCAGATATGACTGTGGGAAGAAAGAAGCATCAATTAAAAGTTTCCTAATCACATTGAATCATACCGACTGGGGCTGGGTGATATGGCCTCAAATCTATATTGTGATACAATCTGAAGCATGTGCGGTAACAATATATATTGCGATATATTTTTTCCTCTGTTTATTTATGTCAAAATGACATGCTTTTAAATATCCTCCTGTGGCAAATGTATGCCACATGAGGCTAATAGGCCGCCTCCTCCTCCGCCCACTCCATGCTTGCAGTCACTGCTATTCTGTTGTCCCAATGTCAGCAGGGTGCACATCTTAGTGACGTCCACTTGTGATATAGCCAAAAACTCTATCATTACCCAATTTTATTTCGTTTCTACCTTATATCGTTTATATTGCCCACCCCTAATACGGACCACATTGTCTTGGCCCTTTTAGGTGTTTTTAGCCAAGACCTATATAAACCTATTCTGTGTGTATTCATGAGTGACTCTTGCTGCAGCTGCAGAGATCACTCGTCCTCAGCTGTTCTGGGCCAAGACTCAGACCTCAAGTTGGTGAAAAATGTGATTGCCTGAGAAGCCCGGAGGAGAAGCTCTCTTCTTAACTTCTTAATAGCTTTTGAAAATCACTTCAGGAGGCACTGTTGTTGTTTAGTTTTTTCTTCTCCCCCAAGATATGAAGAATATTCCACCTATAACTTCTGATCACTTCACTCTCAGAAAGTTTAGTCTTTTTCTTTTTAAAGGATTCTGACAAAGAATACTTTTTCTAATCTACAGCTCATTACCAGTTGAGTGATAGAAGTACTTTTTATAAAGTTCAGCCTTTTGACTTTGATTTGAATGACTTTATAGTAGGGCTGCTCGATTATGGCAAAAACAATAATCACGATTATGGTGACTGAAATTGAGATCTCGATTATTTAGGACGATTTTTCTATTTGTGTTGATTTTATTTGTTTTTATTGAGTCATAAAATTGCTCAGGGCACAATCAGGACAAAAAATAAATAAGAAACAAGATGATCACTAAAAGAACTCCTGATTCCCAGTATAAAAAGACCAATATACTTATAGCTCCTAGTTTATGACCCAAGGGCTATAGACCTTGGGTTAACTCATTTAAGTCTAACCAGTACAGACCCAAATACCAATATCTTGCAAATACTGACAGCAAGAATTATACAGTGGCATTTATTGCAAATAAATTGATGTTCACAAAATGTTGCATAACATTTATTTAGTCATGTCAAGGTGCTGTAGGAGAGTGCACTAGCACCGTGTCCTCAGAGAGATTAGTTATTAGTTATCAGTGTGAGGAAGTTATTTCTACCTTATTTATAAACTATTTATTTACAGGTCCATCAGTTAATGTAATAAATGTCCCAACCACAGCTAAACCCCCACCCCCCAACCCGGTCTCAGCAATCGGGGCAAGCTGCACGTGTGTTTAGCACGCCGCACACGCACATTTAGCTGTTTTTAGCAGCTCAGGAGTCCGCAGGTGCGGTGTGTGTGTCACTCACTCTGGTTAATCCAACAGGGAGCCGGCTCCGAGAGCTGTTTCTTTAGCGACTGACACATCACTACATCATTCCCTTTCCTAATGTTGTGAAGAACGGTCCGGAGTGTTTAGCTAACCTGCAGGAAATGTCAACGACAGTTATCCAGAAAGTAGCGAAGGGTTACCAGAGATGTTTCTGAGGTGTTCGCTAGGTACTTTTAAGATTTAAAAAGTCAATAAGGGGGTCTGAAAAGCTGTTGGAAATAGCGTCAAAGTCGCCAAGTTGGCAACACTGTGGGAGGAGCGCTTCATTTGCAACTCAGGGCAGCGCAAATGGGAGGAGCAAATAATCGGCTTGTTTTCTTTTTTATAATCGTTCAAAACTCAGATTGTAATCGTGATTAAAATTTGATTAATTGAGCAGCCCTACTTTATAGTATACATTTAAAAATACATAACTCATTTTTTCTTGTTTCATATGATTAAAGTAACGTGTGTTACTAATAAAACACTGCTGTAAACGACTTTTATGCTGTACCAGGTAATTTTTGGGATCCTTTTAGTCACGGATCTAAATAAGAAGTGCTCCAGTTGCTGTGGTGGTGTTTGTGCTATTTGCCCTACTTGATAAAAAATGAATCAGAGCCTTTCTCTGGTGTAGAACAGCTTATTAGTCACAGATGAGGTTATCATGTTCTCCGTGGTATACATCTCCCAGGTAATTGGCCTTTAGCTAACTTCTCTGCCATGCGTTCACGTCTCTATGCATGGTTTATTTTGCACCAGGCGTTTGAGCCTCTGATTGTACCATAAAGCATCCTACATTAATTAGCTGTGTGGTAAGGAAGCTGTCTCTGAGAATTCATTCTCCTCAGCAACAGTTTTTTTCCCCCTACAGTGTCGGCTCTTTCAGGCTGCTGTTTGACAGAGTTCCAACCTTCTCGGTTTAACTCGGCTACAGTTTGAATTAAAGCCCATTCAAACCGTATTTCATAAATCAGGTTTTTTTTTTCCTCTCTACTCCAGCACCAGATCTGCTTTTGTGCTGGTGTCACCTGTGACTCAAAAGGATCTGTGCTGCGAGCAGGCTTTGTTTTTAAAAGAATAAACCAAATGAGTGAAGCCTTTTCATCTCTCCGTGGCTGACCCTAGAGTTGTTGGCTTCGTCACAGACTCGCATAATGAATGGGGAGCTTTTTTTTTTTTTAATCCCAACACACACACTTTGTTTTCTAATCTACCAAACAAATGTTTTCACACACCTTTAACCCCTTTTCCACTATTGTTTCAGGTTCAACTACAGATCAACTCACCATCTCACCACCAATGGCTTCTTTGAGTTTCTCAACTGGTTTGATGAACGGGCCTGGTACCCTCTGGGAAGAATTGTTGGCGGCACAGTAAGTTTCCCCACCATACAAACTACAGGTCGACTGATTAGTTTTTTTATTGCCAATACTGATGCAGGTATGCAGTAGAAATGGTCAGCCGATGGCCGATATTTACTGCAGATTTTTTTAAACTCTGAATTTAACTGTTAAGTCTTAACTGTGTGCATTGTTCCGTGTTAAAGTTGGCATCTAAATGAAGTTAATTTAGAATATTTATTATGCAGATGTTATTAATGAATGCAAGAATACATTTAAATAGAATTCTGTAACATTGGGCTGGCCGAGGATGCGTCTGACTTTAATTTGGCTTTATGGAGGACAATATCAGCCGATACGATGTGTATAAAACGGTAAATAACGGCTCAATATAATGGCTGACCGCTCTATCGGTCTACCCCAATACAACCCCAACTGACTGCTCACGTGTCAATGTTTCCGTTCTTTTGATGCCTCAGGACCCTTCATAATCATTTTTTCCCCAAATTGTTTATTTATTTATTTTTTCTTTTGTCAAACTCATTGTTTTATGATCTAACCCTTTTTTTGTGGTGAACAAAATACATTTTAACAAGAATTGTCAAGACAAACGTGAGACACAATGTTTGAGTTCAACAGAGCATGCAACACTTTATTAAGGTGCTTGTGTCTGCATGTTTATTCCAGAGTTAAACCCTACCCCTTTAATTCATCAACCCCTCTCAAGAGTAAAACTAAATCTTGATCTGATGGTTTTGCCCGCGTCCATCCAGGGAAACCGCTCATATGCAGCAGCGGTAGTTCTTTGGGTGCGACTGGTGCAGATCAGGTGATCCACCGAGCCCGCTAAGATGCTTCCAGGCATCATAGATTGAAGTCTCAATCCAGCAGCAGTGAACTGTGAACTTGATCGATTCCCTTCAGCTGCTGCAGCGTCTGCTCCCACCAACAACCAGTCAACCTTTTACAAAATACAACACGACAATTTCACACAATTTATCATTTTGCTGCCTTCCATGTTGAATACATTTCTTTTCTAACACCGCCGTGTAACCTGTGACATATGAGGCCCATCTGATTTAATACCTTCAGTCCATCCATCATCCTCTCCGTCAAACACAACCCCCCCCCCCCCCCCCCCCAAAAAAAATACAACACACTCTGTACACAAGGGGTTCAACCCTTTGCTTTAATTGCAATACTCAACAATTCAACCGGACTTGATAATCCCAAATCCTCAGTGGCTGATAATAGGGCTGCAACAAACGATTATTTGGATAATCGATTAATCGGATGGGGTCTCGACACGATTAATCGATTAATCGGATTACATGGGGAAATTTTTAAAAACTGCTAGGGAAACGTTATTTCTCTCCTTCCTTCACTTTATTTAACACAGCATTATTAGAAAACAGTTCAATAGCAGAAAAACAACATGCCATCACCTAAATTGTCTTAAAAGGTGTATAGACAGAGACCCTAAGCTACACCTATCTGTGACCTAAAATGCTTGGTCCAAGTTAAACAGCTTAAGGGCAATTCTCATCTGTTTTGTTTGATCTCATCTGTTGACATTTATTTTAAATGTAATTAAACATAGGCTGTGAATTAATCAAAATTGATCACTATTTCCAAAAATGACTGAAAAAATACCAAATAAAACAAAAGTAAATGAATGCCATCCTCCTTGCGATGATGCCCTGGGCAACTGCCATAAAGTCACATCAAGAAATGCTGCTGATCATTCCAATGATCCCAAATAGACTCACATTAGGCCACATGAAAGCAACTAAACCCAAAAATATATTAACCAGTATATAACTGCACTCTCACACAACACGCCTGCAGCAACAGTTAGGACTCCTCCCTCCCTTTTAAAAGCGTTTTTGCTTCTGAGGACATTGTGGTTGTAAAACCACATGCTGGTAGTCTGGCCCCGGTGTGATCAACCAGTTTCTGCGGGAATGTGACGGCGGAACCAGGGCCAGATTAACACTTTGTTGTACCCTGGGCAACAATATTCAAGGGCTCCATCATCACGACCCGAGGATCACCATAATGTGGTCACATACAGAATATTTTACTGTAATATGCAGTAAATATACTCAATACTTGAATGCCTGACAACACGTAACCCGCCCAGAGTAACCTTTGACCCACCTCGTGTGGACTGACCAATGAGGAGAGGGTCTTAACTTGAGGCCCTCTCTTCATTGGTCAGTCTGCATGAGACTGACTCTCAACTGACGTTCAGTCGTAGGCAGCGAAGCGTCTCTGTGCAGTGCAAAAGCCCGGGTGGACAGTTTGTTAAATGTAGGGTGATCATATTTCCATTTCCAAACAAGAGGACAGGGGATCTGTGCCTATGACGTCACACTATGGCAACGCCACACAAACCATGTTGGGACCCATTTTTTGTAAGAACTAAATTAATATCAGATTCTGCCAATAAAAGGGCTCTAAAACAATTCATATGTAAATATTTTGCATATTTAATGCAAAATCTAATTTTTCTGCTTTAGTGCTGCAACAAGGTTTTATTAATAATAAATTATTATACCTTTTGTTTTACTACAGCATAAGCTTCCTGTGCACAGATTATTAAGGATGCTTGTTTCAGCTGTGAGATTAGACGATAGGATCAATGAAAAAATAAGTTGTCACACACTCCATGGAAACTTTCAGAGAATCCACAAATAGCAGCTTTCAAATGGTTTTGTTACTTTTAGCAAGTTTATAAAAGAAGCAGATGAGACAGCATGTCTGATAATTTAGTTTTTCATCTGATAATATTAGAACATGTCAGTAATGTCTGAGGGGCTTTTATAAACACCATATAACTAACACTACTGGAGAGGGTATGAATTACACAGAGGCTTCTGGGGAGCCCAGTTATGGGGGGGGGGGGGGGGGGGGGGGGGCATTTTGCCTTGGCCCCCAAAATGTCTTGAAACGGCCCTGGGTGTGTGACTGAGTTTTGAAGGTGATCTGAATTGTATCAGATGTATAAATATTACATGTGTATAACTTATTGTTTTTTACTGGTAAAAACGTGTCGTGGAGATAAATCTACCTACATTTTACTTTTCAACACTTTGTTTTGTTTTCTTGTTTTTATTTAACTATTTTCCTGTCCTGTCTGTCTCTCATCTTCCTGCATCTCCTCTTAATTCTCCAGAAAATCTGTTGCCTGGATTCTTACCTTTTCACCTCATCAGTTACTTTTGAGCAGATCAAAGGGATCTCCTGACCGAAAAGCAGAGCGCGTTTTCGATGCTGCGTGAGGTGACATCACCACAGCACAGGTGATGAGCTCCACAGCGAGCTTCAGGCACAAATAAGACAGAAAATAGAGAACATGTGCGGACATGAACGATCGTGTGCTAATTATAGTTTTTTGGTTGCGCCACTTTGAGAATGGACCGTGCGCTGGAAGCAGCTGCCTGGATCGCTGTGCAACAATGCGGAACCGGTTCGCAGCAGCGCAAGTCTGCCGGCTCTCCCTCGCGCTGATCTGCCGGCTCTCCCTCGCGCTGATCTGCGGCTCTCCCTCGCGCTGATCTGCGGCTCTCCCTCGCGCTGATCTGCGGCTCTCCCTCGCGCTGATCTGCGGCTCTCCCTCGCGCTGATCTGACTTGCTCTGGTCTGCGCGCAACGGCGGGCGGGAAGGGGGGGGGGGGCGCTTTTGGAAGAGTTGTGCGACACAACGAATCGATGACGCAATTCGTTGCCAACGCTTTTAGTAATCGATTTTCATCGAATTTATCGATTCGTTGTTGCAGCCCTAGCTGATAACCTAGAATGTCTCCCAACATGTTTCCAGTCAGGTCCAGTTAGGATTCTTATATGGAACCTGAACCACGCTTGTAATTTGACTCCTCTGACTCATTTCCTGCCGACTGTTGTATAAATGGAGTCGCCGCTGCTGGTTTCCCTTCACACAGAAGGGTGAAGCATTAGAACAGTGCAGCACTGAGTTGGTGTTATCACGACAGGAGCCTTGTGCCTGCAGCTTTCAACTCTGCAAGAAGACTAAATAATCTAAAAGCCTTTCATCAGCATTCAGTCCTCATAATCATTTATAATCAGTTACTGGTAATTGCAAATGCAAAGCCTGGGGAATAATTAGTTTGCTGATTCTGTTTCAGTACACAGATTCTTGGTTTAGGCTGTTTTCACACAAGGCAGAAGCTGAAACTCCTGATTAGACAGGTAATCAGAACTGGAAGATGCTTAGTCTTAAGTTAATTTTCATGACATTTGCAAAACTCCGGGGCCACACAGAGGATTGTTTTCTGCATCCAGATAAGCACACCCAGAGCGGAGCTGTGCTCTGGGTGTGCACTCATGTATGAACGTTCCACTAATTTGTAAGCAAAAGAAAAAAGAAACTGCAGACTAATTCACACATTCATCATTTGGTGCAGATTACTGTGTGCTAAACTGATCTCTGCACAGTTCAGCGTTCAACGTAATTTAATTTTCCTCTTGAACATGACTTGAAATATGGAAGGGTTCTCAGTAGTTTACAGTTAAGTCAGTATGCAAGTAGGGAGAACGTACTACTGTTGAATTTATATATATATATATATATATATATATATATATATATATATATATATATATATGTATATATATATATATATTTACATTTATATATTTATATTTATATTTATATTTATATATATATATATAATATATATATATATATATATATATATATATATATATATACATAAATATACATACACATAAAAAATATATATATATACATAAATATATATATATATATATATTTTTTTTATGTGTATGTATATTTATGTATATATATATTTTTTTATGTATATGTATATATATGTATATGCATATATATATATATATATATATATTTATATGTATATGTATATATATATATATGTATATGCATATATATATATATATATATTTATATGTATATGTATATATATGTATGTATATGTATATGTATATATATATATATTTATATGTATATGTATATATATGTATGTATATGT